ATGGGTTCAGTACATTTGGGTTCACTATAGAGGGTTTTTACTGTAATTAGGAGCAGCTGCACATGTCATCTGTTCCTCATGTCAGAGGCGGCCATTTCTTTTGGAGTTAAGTCGGCCTGCCACTGAGTAGTGCTCACAGTCTTATGACAAAGGCAGACACATTCTACTTCACCCAGTCATGATGGTTGTCAAACTTTACAAGCTTGATACCCTAATATGATTGAGTGGAGATAAGAAAGAAGAAGAAGTGTCGTAGAAAAAGAACATATGAAGAAAAGAGTTAAAGATAGTTGAGAGTAGATAAAAGAAGATAAGATAGAACTATGATAACATTTAATCAAACAAATAAAAAGAAAAGAAAATTAGAAGTCAATTTTTATAAATAAATAAAAAAATTAAGTAAATGTTGACTAAGACTAAAAGAACTTTATGAAAAGCTTTATTGGAATTTAGAGAATAAACTACCTCCTTGTAGGACAATACCTTGTAGGTAACTAACTGTACCAAACTTTGCCTTTGCCAGTCCCAAGCTCGGATGAAAAAGGAGGAGGGGGAGCAGTAACAAGCTCACTAAAAAACCTGGGCTCAGCTGGCCCGGCTGATAGTACTCTGTAAGGGCTCCTGATCCAGGGATACAGGATGAGCAGTGTTTGTACTCCAGATTATGAGCAGTTGAACGGCGCCTGTTCCTCATGTCAGAGGCGGCCATTTGTGGTAAACCATGCTGTGGTAAAATTTCTCATTCAGTACTTTTGTCTGAAGATGGTAACAACGTTGTTACCGAAACGTCACACACTATTTATTTATTTGGATTTGGTCTTATTACCTTGTGTTTAGAATTTCTAAAAAAAAAAAAAGCAAAACGAATAAATTAAGAAAAATAAATATATAGTCAATATATATACCTAATTAAAAGTTTTGTAAATAATTTATATCAATATATAAATAATAAATGTACAGATTTAAAAAAAAAATTCTCATACAGTCTCTCTTTATTTCAACACCCCAAGAAAAGTAAGGGTGGGCACATTGAATTATTATTATTTTTTTTTTTGCTTATCTCTAGTACATATGGTACAGGCCATGATAATCATGGTGTGTAGAAGTAGGCGACTGCTTTTACTGTGAGTGCACCACATCTCTACACATGTGAAAAAGCAGTTCGACTTTGCACTTACAAATATGCCAGAGCCCCGTTTGGTTACTTGCACTCGTTGTTAGGGTTGGACTTTCGCAAGAATCAGGGGCCATTGGAGCATTTTTTTTTTTTTTAAATCAGAAAAAAGTGTCCAATGCGGGATTCGAACTTAAGTCATAGCAGTTGAAAACCAACGGTTTAGACCATTCTTCCACCGAACCCCTTATATTGAATTAGAAATAATAAGGCACAATTTGGATTATAGATTATAAACACAAGGTAATAAGACCAAATACAAATAAATAAATAGTGTGTGACGTTTCGGTAACAGCATTGTTACCATCTTCAGACAAAAAAAAAAAGTACTGATATAAAAATTTTACCACAGTATGTTTTAAATAGTTACTGTTATCAAGTGTGTAAACGGGGTTCGGTGGAAGGCTGGTTAAACCGTTTGGTTTTCGACCACTACAACCAGGGTTCGATTCCCGCAATGGACACTTTTTTCTGTTAAAAAAAATAAATAAAAAAATGCTCCAATGGCCACCGATTCTTGCAAAAGTCCAACCCCACCAGCGAGTGCAAGTAACCAAACAGGGCTCTGGCACATTTGTAAGTGCAAAGTCGAACTGCTTTTCACATGTGTAGACATGTGGTGCGCTTACAGTAAAAGCAGTCGCTAACTACCCACCATGATTATCATGGCCTGTGCCACGTGTACTAGGGATAAGCAAAAAAAAAAAAGTGTGTAAACAAGATAGCAGATAAGAAGATAGTTTTCTGAGAAACTTAGTAAGGTCTTATTACCTTGTGAATTACAAGTAGTTTAAGTATTAGTGCTCCAACTGTATACAAGGGATGAAGATATATATTTAGCATGAATTAAATGTGATCAGCTTTAAAAATTACAATAATAACAATGTTTATTTTCAAAATTCAAAACTAATTTAAAAGCGTAAGATTCTTTTTGATATTAAACAATTTCTACTGCCCTTAACGCAATGGAAAAATTAATGGGAGGGCCTGGCTTATCAGTGGTGAACCCTACCAGCGATTTCGCCAGTTTAATCTACCATACCGCTGTTATATTGCATTTTTGGAATGCCTTTAAAATAGTTTTGAATTTTGATAACAGATGGCGCGCTAGTGCATCATATTATAAATGCTTATTTTACTGGTACTACAGTAGAACAAACTCCCTGTAAAGGACAACACCTAATTGCAGAGTCAAAGTGTCCTTTAGGGAGAGGTGTTCTCTTACCGGAGAGTTGCTAAATAGTAAAAATGGTAATTTTGTAAATGAAAACTGTCTTTTATAGAGAGGTATCCTCTTACCAAAAAGTTGCTAAATAGTAAAAATGGTCATTTTGTAAATGAAAACTGTCCTTTGTAGAGAGGTGTCCTCTTACCGGAGAGATGCTAAATAATAAAAATGATAATTTTGCAAATGAAAAATGTCCTTTGTAGAGAGGTGTCCTCCTACCGGAGAGTTGCTAAATAATAAAAATGATAATTTTGCAAATGAAAAATGTCCTTTGTAGAGAGGTGTTTGATAAAGGGAGGTTCTACTATACTCCCTGCAATTTGTATTGAAGAAGTATTCCTGTAGGAAAATAATAAAGAGACAAAAATGTATAGCGGATCAAGTGGTAAAAATTAAGAAAAAGGCATTTCCTGATCATGCAAATATATATATTGTTGATGACTTGCACCATCTATTGGAATAAATATTAATTAATTGCTCATTTCTTTATTTTTAGTTGAATTTAAGTAAACTCATGGACAAAGCTTAAGGAAATTGTATATTTTAGCATGTATATCAGGATTCAGACAATAACTCTGAAAGATTTTGATACACAGTGACCTTTATTGAAGATACACAAGATTGTCAAATTATTTTGACAAACATTTGCATTTTTTTTTCTGATCAGTTTTCTAGCGGGAAGAATGGTGTTTTCGGCCTCACGCCTTCTCATTGGACGAATGTGGCCATGTTTGTATATAAAGGGGACTAGGGAATGCGGAGGGTACAGAGAGAGCGTGGATAATTGGTGTGGAGACACTTAAAGTGTTTTTCTACGAGATTTTTCTGTGTCTGGCTGTTCTCTTGGCATCCCTGTGTCACCTGAGTCCGATCCCTACCAACGCTACAATAAAGATAAGTACTGTTTTATTTTATTTAACAAATTGTGAGTTGTTTTTATCTCCTTTTTGTTGTTAGTGTTGTACTCTTGAGTGGACGTTGTTCAGTGTATTAAGTTACTCTTACGGTAGGCCCTAGTATACTCTTTTTTTGTGTGTTAACCCGCAAAAGTAGAAACTTTTGTCAAGATAACAAAGTGTAAACAAAATTCTCTCGGTCTCCTTAAAAAAAATAGACGGCCGTTAACATCAAAGAATTTCCACTTCATTAAGTTTTATCCATGAGTATATAAATGTTGAAATATAATTTGTTAAGAGGTATTCTGTTATACACTCATATCACAAAGAAAGAAAAAAAAAAAACAATAATTTTTAAGAACAAAATTGTAACATTCAAAGCAAAATATATAAAAAAAGAAGTTTAAACCCGAAGATAACCAAATTTTTAAGTTACAAAAAAGCAAAAATTAATACTTTTTATTAAAAAAAATAGAGAGAAAGATGTATGTACAATTTGTGTGTAGATTAGAGATTAATGTAAAAAAAGGGGGTAAAAACAAGATAAGGGGGTAAAATTTCGAATAAGTTACCATTATGTGGTATACAATGGTAACATAGAGTTATTACCATGATACTGAAGGACTAGAGATCAAAAGGTCAACACACACATACAACCTTGCTTAAAATAGAGCAATCCATAAATAAATCTTTAATGAAAAAGGCATATATTGGATCAAAATATCATTTATTTTACCAATATTTCTGTTGGCCGAAAGCCAACCTTTATCAAGGTGTTATAACATTTTAATGCATTAATATGTTAATGGTGTTCAGCCAACTGAAATATTGGTAAAATAAATGATATTTTGATCCAATATATGTCTTTTTAATTTAAAAAAATATATATACAACCTCGTTTAAAATTTAGCTTAGAGATTCCCTAATACAGTAGAACAAACTCCCTGTAAAGGACAACACCTAATTGCAGAGCCAAATTATCCTTTAGAGAGAGGTGTCCTCTTACTGAAGAGTTGCTAAATTGTAAAAATGATAATTTTGTAAATGAAAACTGTCCTTTGTAGAGAGGTGTCCGCTAGCATGGGTGTCCGCTAAAGAGAGGTTCTACTGTATTTGGGTTATAGATTATAAACACAAGGTAATAAGACCAAATCCAAATAAATAGTGCGTGACATTTCTGTAACAGCGTTATATACAGTAGAACCTCCCTGTAATGGACAACACCTAATTGCAGAGCCAATGTGTCCTTTAGGGAGAGGTGTCCTCTTACTGAAGAGTTGCTAAATTGTAAAAATGATAGTTTTGTAAATGAAAACTGTCCTTTGTGGAGAGGTGTCTTCTAACAGGGTGTCTGCTAAAGGGAGGTTCTACTGTATATCTTTAATGTTCTAAAATTCTAAACACAAGGGGTAATAAGACCAAATCCAAATAAATAAATAGTCAATTTCCAACCCCACCAGTGAGTGCAAGTAACCAAACGGGGCTCTGGCACATTTGTAAGTGCAAAGTCGAACTGCTTTTCACATGTGAAGACATGTGGTGCACTTACAGTAAAAAGCAGTCGCCTACTTCTACCCACCATGATTATCATGACCTGTACCATGTGTACTAGGGATAAGCAAAGAAGAAGAATAGTCAATTTATAATACAATATAATGCGGCTTATGATTGTAAAACGATGTTTGACAAGTTTTACTGCAAATGGGTAGCCTAATAGACATGGCATCTGCCCGATAAGCTGAACACTGTGGGTTCGATTCCCATTCCTGGACAATTATATTTTTCCATTCATCATTACTCTTCACAATTCATCCTTTCATACTTTATCCCTAAGGATAGAAATAGTCGTTATTTCTCCTTAAAATAAACACAAGATAATAAGACCAAATAAATAAATAGTGTGTGACGTTTCGGTAACAACGTTGTTACCATCTTCAGACAAAAGTACTGAAAGAGAAATTTTATCACAGCATGTTTTAAATAGTTACTGTTATCAAGTGTGTAAACAAGATAGCAGATAAGAAGAAGATAGTTTTCTGAGAAACACAGAATAGCTATCTTGTTTACACATTTGATAACAGTAACTATTTAAAACATGCTGTGGTAAAATTTCCTCATTCAGTACTTTTGTCTGAAGATGGTAACAACTCTGTTACCGAAATGTCACACACTATTTATTTGTATTTGGATTTGGTCTTATTACCTTGTGTTTATTATCTATAATCAAAATTCGAAACTATTTTAAAGGGGTAAGTTTCTTTTTGAAATTAAACAATTTCTACTGCCCTTATTGCAATGGAAAAATTAATGGGAGGGCCTGTCTCATCAGTGGTGAACCCTCCCAGCGGTTTCGCCAGTTTAATCTATCATTTTACCACTGATGAGCCAGGCCCTCCCATTAATTTTTCCATTGCAGTAAGGGCAGTAGAAATTGTTTAATTTCAAAAAGAATCTTACACCTTTAAAGTAGTTTCAAATTTTGATAACAGATGGCGCTCTAGTGCATCATAATCTATAATCCAAATTGTGCCTTATCCTCCTTAAAATAAATTACAATTTTTCATTCAAAAGAAATAAATAGTATTCAGAGATAAACACAGCCACATCAACCTATAGTTCAACTCCCGACGTCTCAATGAATTCTTGTCATTCTCTTCAGGGGAATGGTTACTTTGTATGTATTTGAGAAAATTGTGTATGTATATCAACACTTTAATATCTTCATTATGAATTATACAACAACAAAGCTTTAAGACCTTTCAATCTTATACAGATTTTCCAAGTAGAAATGTAGGATACATACAGGAATAACAGTAATAGTACCACAAGGTAATAATACCAAATCCAAATAAATAAATAGTGTGTGACGTTTCGGTAACAGTGTTGTTACCATCTTCAGACAAAAGTACTGAATGAGAGAATTTTACCACAGCATGGTTTAAATAGTTACTGTTATCAAATATGTAAAGAAGATAGCTATTCTGTGTTTCTCAGAAAAATATCTTCTTATCTGCTATCTTGTTTACACACTTGATAACAGTAACTATTTAAACCATGCTGTGGTAAAATTCTCTCATTAAGTACTTTTGTCTGAAGATGGTAACAACGCTGTTACTGAAACGTCACACACTATTTATTTATTTGGATTTGGTGTCTTATTACCATGTGTTTATAATCTACAATCCAAATTGTGCCTCATCAGTAATAGTACCAGTAACAAGTGACGCTGTATTTGAGAAAATGGTGTATGTATACAAGTAGAACTAGGATTCAACCATTCCCCTGAAGAAAATGACAGGAAGTGTCACTGAAATGTCAGGAGTTAAATAAACCATTAGTTGATGTGGCTGTGTTTGTTCTCTGAATCTACTTCCAACCAACAAATGATATTCAGAAAATAAATAGAATGTTACATTTTAGTTGTTCAGTACTTTGTATAACTCCGCCTTTGCTGGTCCCAAGCCCAGATGAAAAAAGAAGGAGGGGGAGCAGTAACAAACTCACTAAAAAACCTGGGCTCAGCTGGCCCAGCTGATAGTACCCTGTAAGGGCTCCTAATCCAGGGATACAGGATGAGCAGCGTTTGTATTCCATGTTAGGAGCGGCTGCACATTTTATTTGGATTTGGTCTTATTATTTTTTAGTAAAAATCAAGACAATAAATCAGGGGTTTTAACAGGTTCATGTTGAGACTTCGATAGCTACAGTAAAACTCTGGTAAAATGAAACTAGAATATAGTGTACCTTCCCTTATAATGAACCTGAAATAATCCCTATTTTTATTTTATAATACAATAACAAACCATGGAAATAGTGAACCATGGGTTCAGTACATTGGGGTTCACTATAGAGGGGTTTTACTGTAATTAGAAGCAGCTGCACATGACGTCTGTTCCTCATGTCAGAGGCGGCCATTTCTTTTGAAGTTAAGTCAGCCTCCCACTGAGTAGTGCTCACAGTCTTAATGACAAAGGTAGATGCATTCTACTTCACCAAGTCATGATGGTTGTCAACTTTACAAGCTTGATACCCTGATATGATTGAGTGGAGATAAGAAAGAAGAAGAAGAGTAATTTGTATGATGATAGTAACAACACTGTTACCAAAACGTCACACCATTTATTTGGATTTGGTCTTATTACCTTGTCTTAAAAAAAGGTAAAAAACTAGTCATTTATAACCCCAAATATCAATAATAATTAAAAATACCAAGGATACACTCAAATCTAGTTAAAATGGAATGCTAAATGAGCCTGGAGTAGACATATTGAGATAGGGATCATGCGTGCTATATGCAGTAGAGTGAAATCTCAAAATGATCATGCCTTAACACGTAAGTGACATTTGAGTGAACATTCAATATTGTATAAAACATGTGAAAGGCATTAAAAGGGCTAAGCAGAATGGCACTTAGTGGGCACATATACACTTGTATATCTATATACAGTTAAACCTGTCTATAGCGCCCCCTCATGGGACTCACCAAAATAGGGTGTTATAGAGAGGGGGTGCTATAGACAGGTCACTTTTAATGTAAATCGCATCTTACTATGTATTTAAAATAAGGCGCTATAGAGAGGGAGACGCTATTTAGAAGGGGCGCTATAGACAGGTTTAACTGTATATTTATAGTTATATATTTCTACTGTCCACAAAGTTTAATGTCCATTGTTTATTAAAAATACCATTTTCCAAAGAGGTCCTTCATTACTTCCAGTGTATTTTTTTTCAATTTTAATTGGAGATTGTGCCCTATATAAATTGATCTGTTATCCTGAAGTTTGTCTTAATTTTCTAAATTACAATATTAATATATTACTCTGTTACCAAATATATATATATATAAAGATAGATAAATATATAAAATACTATAAAAATAAATGACGCTTAGTTTTAGCGTCTATTTGACAAAAGAGGTGATTTTTTCACATATACATAGATCAATTTCCTCCTGAAAAAAAAAAAAAATCCATCTAGAAAACACAGTAGAACCTCCCTGTAAAGGACACCTAATTGCAGAGCCAAATTGTCCTTTAGGGGAGAGGTGTCCTCTTACCTGAGAGTTGCTAAATAGTAAAAATGGTAATTTTGCAAATGAAAACTGTCCTTTGTAGAGAGGTGTCCTCTTACCGGAGAGTTACTAAATAGTAAAAATGGTAATTTTGTAAATGAAAACTGCCCTTTGTAGAGAGGTGTCCTCTTACCGGAGAGTTACTAAATAGTAAAAATGGTAATTTTTCAAATGAAAACTGTCCTTTGTAGAGAGGTGTCCTCTTACCGGAGAGTTGCTAAATAGTAAAAATGGTAATTTTGCAAATGAAAACTGTCCTTTGTAGAGAGGTGTCCTCTTACTGGAGAATTGCTAAATAGTAAAAATGGTAATTTTGCAAATGAAAACTGTCCTTTGTAGAGAGGTGTCCGCTAAAGGGAGGTTCTACTGTATTATGAATTCGGTGTTTCTTTCCCCATTATAAAATAGATGTTAATATTTAAAGAGATTAGAATAAAGGTTCTGTGATAGATAAACCATCAATTTTTTTATAAAAAATAAATTGTGGAAAAAAACCCCTGATTGTAAAACAATATATAGCTGAAAGGAAAACTAGTTAAAAATTGAGCCGTTGTCAATCATCCCAAGATGGAAGATACAACCGTATACCATCCAAATCTTTTGTTAGAGAGATCTGGCAACCTGGAAAACACCAACACAGTTTCAGCGATATTTATTTACATAAGGAATGAAGACATCAAGACATGAATGTTTCTTTTCACAAATAAACCAAACTTCTACTATCCTTACTGCTATGAAAAAATATTGGGAAGGCTTAATTATCAGTAGTCTTCTTCTTTCTTATCTCCACAACTGGGTGAAGTAGAATGCATCTGTCTTTGTCATTAAGACTGGGAGCACTACTCAGTGGAAGGCCGACTTAGCTCCAAAAGAAATGGCCGCCTCTGACATGAGGAACAGACGCCATGTGCAGCCGCTCCTAACATGGAGTACAAACGCTGCTCATCCTGTATCCCTGGGTTAGGACAATTGACAGGGTACTATCAGCCGGGCCAGCTGAGCCCAGGTATTATCAGTGGTGAACCCTCCCAGCGGTTTCACCAATTTAATCCACCAGACCACTTCTTAAGAGCTCTAATACTGTATTGGATCATTCTACTTTTAGGGGGTCGGTGGAAGGCTGGTTAAACCGTTTGGTTTTCGACCACTACGACCCGGGTTCGATTCCCACATTGGACACTTTTTTCTGTTTAAAAAAAAAATGCTCCAATGGCCCCCGATTCTTGCAAAAGTCCAACCCCTGGCACATTTGTAAGTGCAAAGTCGAACTGCTTTTCACATGTGTAGACATGTGGTGCGCTTACAGTAAAAGCAGTCGCTAACCACCATGATTATCATGGCCTGTACCACGTGTACTAGGGA